CATAGACACCCCCCCGCCCCCCCCCCCACAAGAGGAGAATACACCCGGAATTATGCTAATTGGGCAAGCTGATCTACTTTCTATCTAGCTCTTGGTGACCCAAGACTTTTGACTCTGTCTCTTCGAGGTGCACAGCATTCTGCATAGGCCACACCAGCAGGCTTTGATTTGGAAAGATCACTAAACAAGCTGGACTTAACGTAAGTTCGCCTGTAGCACATTAAAAAAAAAAATTGAAATCCTCCCTTGGACTTAAGGTGAAAAGAAATTTCCTAATGTGAGAAGAACCAGATGACTGTTATCTCAATGGTATAGACGGGGTTCGTTGATCTTTGGCTTGCGTCTCTTGCTATAAGGGTGCTCAATGCACAGAAGTTTAGGCTTAGGGCTACCTATATTTGCTACTTTCATGCTCTCTTTTCCTTACAGCAGAGTTTTGCCTTTGTAAATGAGCATTAATGAAAGCTTAGCCTATCCTCAATCCTCATTGTTTGCATAAATAATGTGCACTCACTTGAGTTTTTTAATCTATACGTCAACAATCCATACATTTGGTCTAAAATGTTGTCCTATAGAAGTATACTTTCCTTTTCTAAACAGTATTTGAAATTCCTTAACATTGGCTAAGTTAATGATACTGTCAGTAGAATTACCATTTGCTCCTTGGGATTTATAATGTTCCTTAACTAAAGGGTAATGATGTCTGTAATTTGTACAAGAGACATATAAAAACAATGGTTATATGAATGGATTTTAGCTTGTACTCAATTGTAGTGCTAATCTAAGAGCTATTAGTTCTTATGACATGGCCCTTCTGGACAGCTGCCTCCTGAAGAGATCACTGACAATATGGGTACTATAGCAAATTGTGGTGAAGGAATCAGATGGCTCTCAGCTATCAGAAAGAGGAGCTTCTGGGGTCTTAAAGGCTTGTCTTAAAACAAGCAGTCATTTAAGTAAGGTGATAGGGAAGACCACACTAGTCTATGTGATCCAAACATTGTAAATAATAAAAATCAAAACTGGAGGAGTGAATGTTATTAGAGCTTGAATTCTGAGCACACAGTTTACAAAAGACTATGAATGACAACGAAAGCCCAAAATGCATTTGCAGGATGCCACTTGGATTGAGCCTCTGGTGAATGCCCTCTGACCATTGACCAGGGAGGTGAACAGCCTTGTTATCAAACAGATTAATTTGGAAAGTGGATTAATGCATATATTGTCAGTTCCAACCCATAGCAAAATGCACAACAGAATAAAACACTGCATGGTCCTGTGCCGTCCTCGCAATTGTTCCCATGCCTTTTATTTTTTTATTACCTTTTCAGTTGTTTTTTCTGTTTTATTTTGTTAATGTTATTGGGTTTTGTTTTAGCGTTTTTCTCTAAATGACATTTAGAATAGGCAAATCTATAGAGACCATAATTGGATTAATTGTTTCTTGGGCTATGCAATGGAGGTTGGGGAAATTCGAGGAATTATAATAATGAGTATTATAAAAGGAAAATGTTCCAAAATGTACTGTACTGATGACTATATAACTCTCTATAATAGGTTGGAACTATTAAGGAGTATGATACATGAACTATATGTCAAAATGTTAAAAATTTTTAAACTGTTTTCATAGTTTATACACAAGGAAATGCTTACATGCTCAAATATACTTTTCTTAAATACTGATCTTGATTTGTACTTTTTGTGATACTAGCCAGTTATTTAAGATTCTTATTATATTTACTTCTAAATATATCAAATAATTTATTTTATGTGATTTTTATAGGTGACTACATTAAACTATGTAAAATTTGCCAAGAAGACAAAGTCAAAGATTACAATGAAACATGCAAGGACCTAGAGTTGGAAAACCAAAGAAGAAAACTATACTCAGCGTATCTTAAAGAAATAAAGAAAAAATTCAAGCCTTGAGTTGCAATATTGAAAGAATGTATGCACAAAACACTGAATAATACAGAAAGGAAAGAATACACACAGTGACTATAACAACAAAAAACTTGTAGATATTCCACCATCTCAAGAAGTAGCATGTGAGCAAGAACCAATGGTGCTGTAGGAAGAAATTCAAGCTTCACAGAAAGCATGAACCAAAAATCAAGAGCTACTTGGTCAACTGACTGGAAGAGATCCATATTTGCACCCATTCCACAAACAGGTGACCCAACAGAATTCACAAATTATAGAACAATTTCATTGATAACACACGCAAGTAAAATGTTACTGATAATCAGCCAACAATAGCAGCAGCAGTTGCCAAAGGTTCAGACTTGACCTAATTCAGAAGATGTGGATCAAGGGATATCATTGCTGATAGCAGACGGATCTTAGTTGAAAGCAGAAAATAAACAAGAAAGATGTTTATTTGTGTTTTATTAACTCTGCAAATGCAGTCAACTATGGATTGCCTTGGGGAGAATGGGAATTCCAGAACACATAATTGTGTTCTTGTGGAATTGTGCAGTTAGGTAAAGAGAAGAAGGGAATACTTAATAGTTAAAAATCAGGAAAGTTGTGTCTCAATGTGTATGCTAAGCAAATAATC